AGTGGAAATGAAACGTTATGCTGTATTGTTTCTGACTCAAACTTAATTTTTCATTTCTGATTAAAGGCACTGCAAATTTAAACCCTGTAAACTCTTTTATTTAGAAATTGCTACTCACAAGTGTTTGAAAGCTGTAAAGTTTGCAAAATGTTTTACATGGTGTTCCAAATATCATCTGTCAGAGTATGAACATGTGCTAGCTACAGCAATATGTTAAATAAGGCAAAGAAGGAATTTTCTTTGCATCACTTTCCAGACTCTCTGTAGACTGTAAGACTAGATCTACTTGAGTCAAATGGAGTAGAGGGACAATTAGGATAAATTTAATCAGTTAAACAGTCACTGATTAGCTGTTGCCCAGAGCTCTCTCTCCAGCAATTTGATACTGGTCATACATGGTAAAAGCAGGGACCTTGCTGTCCTGCTGCATCCCCAGCACCTAAAACAGCATTTCAATAATTACAGAGTACAAAGCAGTTCAGTAAATACTGGTTGAATAAATGACCATACAACAGTAACAACTCTCCCTCCTCGTCCTATTAATATACATCAGTATGTCCTTGGCGTTGGGGTATAATTTTATGCATATTGTCTCATTTAATTTTTTAATTATTAACCCTTTTATATATAAGGACAATGAAGAAACTGAGGCTTATTGGAGTGAAGTCACTTGCCTCTTGTTAGGAGCTGGTGGTAGAGCATGGACTGAAGCTCAGGTCTATTATAGGATGCTGAATCCATACCCTTTCATTTCAAAAGCTTAACACAGGAGAGGTTTCCCTCCACTTTTGGTATATACACCATTACTGCAGTCTATACTTTGATAAATTCAGTTTATTTTGAAATACAATATGGTGGCAGCATTTTTCTCCTAAGCCATTTTTATTAATGAACTCTAAAGGCTTTCTATTGCTCTAGTGTTTACTTTGAGTACTTGAACTAAATTAGTGTATGTCACTACATGTAGACTGAAACATACACTTAACATTTTGTACTTTGATATGATGATGAGGAAATAGAGAATATTTTGCATTATTTGATATATATTGGGAAGTCTAACATTTAGGCAATGCATTTTTATACCACCTTAATTTCTTACATCTGATTAATCTGGAAAAGGTGGTCTGTGTGTGGTTGCCTGTATCTGCAATTATTGTGCTGCTTCAAATGGATTTTTATTTTCTAGAAACTTATTGTTGTTTGCTCCTCCTTTATGCCCAACCCAGATACCAAATATCTAATTCTCTAATGACATTGTTATCTCTACAGCAGCTGGTTTTGATAAAGGATTCTAAGCCTAGTAAGGTCAGCAGCAGCAGGAAATGAGTTTAGAAGAAACAGAAATCTTATAAACATTCTCTTTTCTTTTTAAGTATGAGATGTGGAAATTGGAAATGATTTTTAGAACAGTAGTATGATATAATTTAGAACGTGCAGAAGCACTCCAAGGATTTTCTGAATATTTACAATACAATACTATAGGTATCAGTGCTTTTGAAAGTTCTGGGTGGGGTACATGGAGAGCATGCTGAGCAGGGCGCTTGACAGTTCTTGCCTGTAAGGCTCAATCAACTCTGTTAGGGTTGTTCCTCTGCTGCCACTTCATCTCTTTCCACTTACCTTGTCCTTGTTTTTGTCTATCTTCACCTTTGTTCTTTGTTGGACTCATCCTTCTGTTGAGCTCTTCTTAATTGGAGAACTCCAGTGAGAAACAGGAAGTATCTTGTATCTGTTCACAGTCCTGGGGTGGTTACTGTAGTGGCTGGAATACTGAGGTAGGTTGCATGGACACCCTTCATTTTTGGGAAGACCTAGTATCTTTCACATAAGTGAGAGGATTTTGCAGGTCACTGAATACAAATTTTAAAATCTGTCTCTGCTGCCTCACTTGAAGAATTAAGAAAAAACTCTCACTGATCAACATCCTTAATGCCAATTTAAAATGCTACCATTTATAAGGGGTTTTCAGCTCTCTGAAAGATGTTGAAACAACTTGTGGTATTGTTTGGTTTGGTGAATCCTATAATGAATCCTGAATATAAAGATGGCATTGCATGCACCCGTTCCTAATGAGATTACATTATAAAGGAAATAATTTCAACCTTCACTCCCCACAGAAGCCTGCTTTCTTTTGCCAATTCCTTGAAAAGCTTTCTTCCTCCTGGTTGGTGATTGCTGCCACCTAATGTCTCAAAATAAAATTGCAGTGGGCTTGCGTTTTCCGAAAGATTCTCGCTGTCGTGCAATTTATGGAAATAAGTCTTTGAGAGCAACAGTTGTTTTTCTCTACACTTAAATAATAGTGAAGTGCTTATTGTGCTTACTGAAGTGCATATTATTGTGCAATATGCTTCACGTCATGTGAAGAGGTTACGAGTAGTGTATATTCCACAAGCAAAAGGTTCAATTTATAAAACAGAAAGGGATTTAAGAGCCCTAATCCCTTGTATAGAACAAATGGCCAGTGTGACCTTGGCATGTACTTACCCTCATAAAATTGGCATAGTGCTCTGAAAGAGCTATTCTAGCTTTAACATTTTTTTGCTGTGTGTATTTTGGTCATAAAAGCATATAGCCCTTATAGATGACGCTATTTATTTCTTTAGGCTAAAATTCTCAGCATTAGACATGTTTTCTTTTAGAGCTATGTTAAATAGATGTTCACGTTTTCATTGTGTCAGTAGTTTTGATAGCTTTCTTTTGCTCAGCAGAGACACACCTGAAGACTTTCTATTGTTACGCAGCCTTAACCAGAGTGGCATTTTCTTCTCAGTTAGTTATTTGTGGGCTTTTTAGCTCGACTTTGTTCTTGTAGTACAGGTTAAGATTACAAAGTAAACTCTTTCTGTGTACAAAGCTCCCAGATTTTTTTTTTTTTAGAAACCCAAATCTGGATTTTAAAAGATTTATAGTTACAGTATTGAATTTTCTCCAGAATTTTGAAATAGAGCATTAATATTTCCTTGGGCTAGAAAGAAATCTGAAAATAGAAAGTTTTCTAAGTACAGAAAAGTGAAAGGAGGTAAGAGATCATTGTTCATGATGTAATGTTTTTTTAATCCTGAAGAATATTGCAACTTGGTGAAGCCTTTCATCAAGGATTCTGTTTATCTTTACTGACTTAGGATTTTAACAGCTATTTTGGCTGTTATTGTTTCTCTTAGTCACATTGTAAACAAGTTGCTCATCCTTTGTAATTCTATAGATGGTTAAAGCAAAAGTCAAGAGTGTGTAAAGCCTCAGCTAAACTAATTTTGGCCTAATTGTTAACAGATATAAAATTGATTCTTAGAACCCCTGGTGGATGGGGAACCTGCTGAATAAAATAAAAATGGATTTAGACCTGCTGTTATTAATTATGTTTGAATACTATCTATTCAGATGAGCACCAAACCTAATTAAATAGTTTTCTTTGCTTATAGATTTTCAGATAGATTTCAGTGACATTGTTCAAGCCATCCTAACCAAACTCTGCAGATAAAATCTTGATACTGACATCCACAAGTAACTGGCTTACTCCTAAATATAGGACCCTTACTGAGTTCTTTTGAAGCATTAATTTTGCTAGTCTATTGAAAAATTTACTATTACTACCATTAGGTTTACCTGGTACGATTCCCTATAAGCTTTAGCAGACTGATCATAATTTCATTCTTTTTGCCACTGAAATCTTTTTCAAACACTTTATAGTTTTCTTAAACATTGCCATCAGATTTCTGTTTATTATCCAATTATTACCAATTTTTTTTTCCTGAGCTGAATACTGGATGAAGGCATATGATGCTTTAATGTAGTGGTGGCAAGCCTAGCCTCTGAAGTCAAATTTCCCGAGTTTGGATCCCAGCCTTACTTTGCTCTGTGACCTTTGACAAGTTACTTAACAACTGTGGGCTTCACTTTCCTAATACATAAAAGGGAAACAGTAATAGGAGCTACCAAATAGGGTTATGATTAAATGTAGACATGATTATCCATTTCATTATTAGTTAAAATAAATTCCAAGATCCTATGTTTATTTTTGATTCCTACAAATGGTCCATACTCTGGGTTTGTCTTTGTCTTTCCAGGACTAGGGAAAACCATAGAATATCTGAGTATTAATCATGTACTTAATTGTATATAAAATTTGTTCATAGCTCTTCAATTGTTTTGTAAAGCCAATCTTAGGGTAGGTGATTGAGGAGGGAGGATACAAGGAAGACTGAGACAGGACCTTGACTGTCAGGGCTTACTATCTAGGAGGGACGGATGGTTCACTGGAGACATTTAGTCTGACCCACCTTTTGGCCTTCCTTTACCTCCTGGACGAGGTCAGATTCTCCAGGACAGGCTCCCATGGTGCTTTGTATTTTGCAATGAAATAATTTTTTAATTCTTTTTATTTAGTGCCTTTCTTTCCCTCCTAGATAGTATGCTCCATGATGCCAGAAACTGCCTTTTTCCTTCAGGTTTTCATAGTTCCTGGCACATGTCTTACACATAGGTGTATGGCAAATGTTTCCTGAATAATTAAACTAGCTCTCATTTTGGAGATGAAGAAACTGAGATGCGTATCTTATGTGACTTACCCCAAACCACACATCTGAAACAGTTATAAGTAGAACTGACATTTTCAGTTTCCTATACTATAGTACTCTCCCTTTTTTCTATTACATCATGAAAATTTAAGCAATATCTACAAATAACTGTATTACAGAGGCAGAATATATGCTCACTTCAAGGAGCTATGGAAATTGAGAGGCAAATAAAAATCCTTTAGTCAGGTATTGGGTGGTAGGTACAGAAAGGCTTCATGAAGGAGGAGACATTTGAATTGTACATATGTGGGTAGATTTTGGATAGAAAAGTGTGGGAAAGGTCACGCTAGGCATAAACAGTGTTTGATGTCATTGTATGTATCATTTAGTCTTGGTATGGTTAATCTCCTTATTTAATCCCATTGTTTCAATAAATCTATAAAACATATATGTTAGCCAGCTATTGGTGTCATCTTCTTTCAGTAAACAACGTTGGAATGTCATATGAATATCCGGAATACTTCTTGGATGTTCCTGACTTGGACAATGTAAGTCTTCCTTTGTGTATTCTGGTGAGGAGAAGTATTGGTGAGGCAGTGTGGTATTCTGGTTCAGACTGAGCCCTCAAGTCCAGCTGCTTGAGGTTCACCCCCTGGCTCTTTGACTTCTTACCAGAGATGCCGAAGGGATGTTCCCAGCCATGCTTAGTCTCTGTTCCCGTGTCCGTAAAATAGGCCACTTTACAGGGATGTTAGAAGGCTTGAATGAGAAAATATTTATAACCTCATTTGTATAGTACCAGGTTCAATAATAGCTCTAGTTTTATTAATCTTATTTTTATTATTTCAAAACAGCTCTGTTTTAAGTATCAGGATTCTAAACATCAATTTAATATCATAAATGTGTTAAAATATAGCAGTGTTGTTTATTCAGGCAAATAGCTCTACCAAAAAGAAAGTATATTCTTGATACATGCATAATTCTTTAATAAAATCCAGAAAGGCATATAATTGAAGGAATATGTAATTTTTAAGAAATTATTAAAAATCTTAGAGTCAGTAACTTCTCCTTTCTATATGAGTAGAGAAGATATTGTGTATTTACTCTAGATTTAGGGTGTCTCTTTACTTCCAGATTTTACTTTGCATATACACCTTTTTTTTCCATATTAGCCTGAATTGCTGCTTTAGGTAGAAAAGTACTATGAAACTCAGAATAAAATAAAATCTGCATCTCCACCCCAATTCCTGTCATTTTTCAAGATCTGTACTGTATCTGGAGGAATTTTCAATGCATCTCTAGATTCGATGTATGTATATCTAACATGCTTGCTTCTGTGATCACATCTGTATAAAATTATCAATTTCTTTTTTCAGATCATCAAGAAACTGATAAATGTTAATGTTCTTTCTGTTTGTAAGGTAAGCAGCTTCTTTATAAATATGTCATCCTTCTTTGGCTCTGTTTAAAAACACTGACATACCAGTTTGTTCACCCCTCTTGTTTTGATTTAAGTATGTATTCCAGATGAGGGTCACCTATTTCCTTATGTCTTTTGGAAGTAGAAAGAACTGAGTAAGAAACAGGTATCTTTGTAATTTTGTTTTTTAATAACTGAACACTTAATAAATGCCTCCTATACACAAACTTTGCCATAGGCCCTGGAACTACACAAACAAACTTAGAAGATTGATTTTTACAAAGTTTTCATCTACATGCAATTTCATTGTGATAAATTGTTTCCATTTTGTATCTCCTATGATATATATGAGTTGATGAGTTACATGTTGTGGTAAAGCATTGTATGTGGAGTATGGGACTACAAAGTAATGAGAGTTATTTTTATTAGCTGCACATAAAACTACTCTGGTTTCTAGTTGCTAGGCATGCATTATAGCTATGTCACTTGTACATGCTGACAAGAGGCCCCACAACTAATATATCCTAAAAGGAAGACTAGCTAGCAAATATGAGTATCTGAACACCATTTCCTTATATTTTAACAGTAAGTGCAGTAAGATACCATATTTTGATTCAGACCAGTAGAAAATATTGCCTGAGGCAGAATTCCCATCAGCAAAGTCAGATACTTTAAATTTAAACATGACTACTATGGAAAAGCCAAATCCATTCTTAGTAACTCTTAGATAAGTTTAATGAAATCCAAAATATTTAACTCAAAATGATTAGAATTGGCTAGATAAATGTAAGTAAGAGCTTAATTACTAATTCTTGCTTTATGGCATAGTCGTGATTTTTTTCTCTATTGTGACTATTTAAAGAAAAATTCTTGGATCTTCATGTCCTGAGAAATTATAACCCTTACTTACGTGGTTTACTTCAAGTCAAAGGACCCTAAAACTTTACACCTTATCCAACCCTTCTTGTATGGCTTTGCCTTTCCCTGTATAATTTATAAGTTGCTTTTAAAGTGTTTGATTCAGTTTTTATATGATTTAACAATATGGTTGATTGAGGTAAACCAGCTCTTTCAAAATGAAAGTTATGTTGTTGATGCATACATACCATATAACGTTTGGTAGCTTGCTGCTTAAAGGCACCTCAAATAAGTTATGAGAAGCAATTTTATAAAACAAATAATCACTGTATCTTTTCTATTGTTGTTATTGTTTTTTAAAAGCTATCAAGTATTTCATTATTTTATCCTACATTATATACAGGTCATAAAAGGCCACAGCAGTTTTCAAGCCTTTAAAAGTAGAGGGCAGTATGAAGGATTGACAAGTATCAAAATGAAGTCCGGTAAGGAGGGCATATATGCAGTGCAGTATTTCTGAGGAATAACAAAGCAGACACCAAGTCATCCATATTTAGCATCCAACTATTCCACAGATTTTTATAAACCTCTTTGGGATTTGTTATTGACCAAATTGCCATTTATTTTGAGAAACGAAACCAGAATAGAACATTAAGAAACGGTAGAGGGTACCTTTGTTATTCTAGTCCTTTATATCTCTCCAAGAGGGAAACTGTCAATTCCTTGCCACCTACTTCTTCCTGTCATCAGAAACAGGAAGGAGAGAAATGGCTAGGCTCATCTGGAACTTTGTTATTTTTTGTGGGAATTCCTTCAAAACTTACTTCAGGCTCTTTAATAATTTGCTTTGAGTTCCTAAACATGTAATTATGTACCCTCCTTGAAAAGTAACTCAAGAATGTTGGTTTCTGCTCTGTGAAAATACAGTCTTTAAAACTATACCTGGTATCAGCAGATCAATATAAAACAATACAGTACCAAGCTACACTGGTATATTTCCATATTAAAACTTCAAAATATGCTTATCACTGAGACCATAGTCCCTGCATTAGTTTTCAGTCCACTATGAACAATTATCTGCTGCATGTAAACATGTCTAAATAACTATAGATAAAATACATCAATCATAAATTTCTGTAAAAGATGATAACATATTTTCTTTAAAAAACAAAACAATAATAAACTATTACTGCATAGTTTCCAATTTTATGAAAATGGAACAACCTTGTGGTTGTTGCTAGTCCTGAGTTCATTGTAGTAAAAATGGCTCTAGTTCCTAGTTAAAGTCAGCCACCTATCCATTCTCTTCAGTAGGTGTGTTCTAGTACTGTAGGCAAGAATTTGTTGTAGGTACTATTTTGTCCATTAACAAAATTATATACCAGAAACTGACCAGTGCCACAGTACTATAGCTCTTCAATTGTTTTGTAAAGCCAATCTTAGGGTAGGTGATTGAGGAGGGAGGATACAAGGAAGACTGAGACAGGACCTTGACTGTCAGGGCTTACTATCTAGGAGGGACGGATGGTTCACTGGAGACATTTAGTCTGACCCACCTTTTGGCCTTCCTTTACCTCCTGGACGAGGTCAGATTCTCCAGGACAGGCTCCCATGGTGCTTTGTATTTTGCAATGAAATAATTTTTTAATTCTTTTTATTTAGTGCCTTTCTTTCCCTCCTAGATAGTATGCTCCATGATGCCAGAAACTGCCTTTTTCCTTCAGGTTTTCATAGTTCCTGGCACATGTCTTACACATAGGTGTATGGCAAATGTTTCCTGAATAATTAAACTAGCTCTCATTTTGGAGATGAAGAAACTGAGATGCGTATCTTATGTGACTTACCCCAAACCACACATCTGAAACAGTTATAAGTAGAACTGACATTTTCAGTTTCCTATACTATAGTACTCTCCCTTTTTTCTATTACATCATGAAAATTTAAGCAATATCTACAAATAACTGTATTACAGAGGCAGAATATATGCTCACTTCAAGGAGCTATGGAAATTGAGAGGCAAATAAAAATCCTTTAGTCAGGTATTGGGTGGTAGGTACAGAAAGGCTTCATGAAGGAGGAGACATTTGAATTGTACATATGTGGGTAGATTTTGGATAGAAAAGTGTGGGAAAGGTCACGCTAGGCATAAACAGTGTTTGATGTCATTGTATGTATCATTTAGTCTTGGTATGGTTAATCTCCTTATTTAATCCCATTGTTTCAATAAATCTATAAAACATATATGTTAGCCAGCTATTGGTGTCATCTTCTTTCAGTAAACAACGTTGGAATGTCATATGAATATCCGGAATACTTCTTGGATGTTCCTGACTTGGACAATGTAAGTCTTCCTTTGTGTATTCTGGTGAGGAGAAGTATTGGTGAGGCAGTGTGGTATTCTGGTTCAGACTGAGCCCTCAAGTCCAGCTGCTTGAGGTTCACCCCCTGGCTCTTTGACTTCTTACCAGAGATGCCGAAGGGATGTTCCCAGCCATGCTTAGTCTCTGTTCCCGTGTCCGTAAAATAGGCCACTTTACAGGGATGTTAGAAGGCTTGAATGAGAAAATATTTATAACCTCATTTGTATAGTACCAGGTTCAATAATAGCTCTAGTTTTATTAATCTTATTTTTATTATTTCAAAACAGCTCTGTTTTAAGTATCAGGATTCTAAACATCAATTTAATATCATAAATGTGTTAAAATATAGCAGTGTTGTTTATTCAGGCAAATAGCTCTACCAAAAAGAAAGTATATTCTTGATACATGCATAATTCTTTAATAAAATCCAGAAAGGCATATAATTGAAGGAATATGTAATTTTTAAGAAATTATTAAAAATCTTAGAGTCAGTAACTTCTCCTTTCTATATGAGTAGAGAAGATATTGTGTATTTACTCTAGATTTAGGGTGTCTCTTTACTTCCAGATTTTACTTTGCATATACACCTTTTTTTTCCATATTAGCCTGAATTGCTGCTTTAGGTAGAAAAGTACTATGAAACTCAGAATAAAATAAAATCTGCATCTCCACCCCAATTCCTGTCATTTTTCAAGATCTGTACTGTATCTGGAGGAATTTTCAATGCATCTCTAGATTCGATGTATGTATATCTAACATGCTTGCTTCTGTGATCACATCTGTATAAAATTATCAATTTCTTTTTTCAGATCATCAAGAAACTGATAAATGTTAATGTTCTTTCTGTTTGTAAGGTAAGCAGCTTCTTTATAAATATGTCATCCTTCTTTGGCTCTGTTTAAAAACACTGACATACCAGTTTGTTCACCCCTCTTGTTTTGATTTAAGTATGTATTCCAGATGAGGGTCACCTATTTCCTTATGTCTTTTGGAAGTAGAAAGAACTGAGTAAGAAACAGGTATCTTTGTAATTTTGTTTTTTAATAACTGAACACTTAATAAATGCCTCCTATACACAAACTTTGCCATAGGCCCTGGAACTACACAAACAAACTTAGAAGATTGATTTTTACAAAGTTTTCATCTACATGCAATTTCATTGTGATAAATTGTTTCCATTTTGTATCTCCTATGATATATATGAGTTGATGAGTTACATGTTGTGGTAAAGCATTGTATGTGGAGTATGGGACTACAAAGTAATGAGAGTTATTTTTATTAGCTGCACATAAAACTACTCTGGTTTCTAGTTGCTAGGCATGCATTATAGCTATGTCACTTGTACATGCTGACAAGAGGCCCCACAACTAATATATCCTAAAAGGAAGACTAGCTAGCAAATATGAGTATCTGAACACCATTTCCTTATATTTTAACAGTAAGTGCAGTAAGATACCATATTTTGATTCAGACCAGTAGAAAATATTGCCTGAGGCAGAATTCCCATCAGCAAAGTCAGATACTTTAAATTTAAACATGACTACTATGGAAAAGCCAAATCCATTCTTAGTAACTCTTAGATAAGTTTAATGAAATCCAAAATATTTAACTCAAAATGATTAGAATTGGCTAGATAAATGTAAGTAAGAGCTTAATTACTAATTCTTGCTTTATGGCATAGTCGTGATTTTTTTCTCTATTGTGACTATTTAAAGAAAAATTCTTGGATCTTCATGTCCTGAGAAATTATAACCCTTACTTACGTGGTTTACTTCAAGTCAAA